TTTTCAGTAGAGACAGGGTCTCGCTCTTGCTCAGGCTGGTCTTGAACTCTTGACCTCAAGCGACCCTCCCGCCTTGGCCTCCCAGAGTGCTGGGATCACAGGTGTGAGCCATGGCACCCAGCCTAACTCTTGTTTTTTTAGTGATTCCTTTGGGGTTTAAGCCAAAGGTTGGGAATTTTTTTTGTGAAGGGCCAAGTAGTAAATATTTTAGACCTTGTGGCCACATAGATTACAGCGTCTGTGTCTTTTTTTTTTTTAACCACCCTTCAGTCTTATCTCACAGGCTACACAAAAACAGGCTGTGGTTCGGGGCCGTAGTTTGCCAGTTCTGGTTCAAAGCATACTCTTCAGTTCACCCCGGTGCCCCTCCGTGGAAGTTGGACTTCACGTGGCACCTGAGGACTTCACAGCAGCGTGGCACTTGCACTTCTGCCCTTGGCCTCTGCTGTTGGCTATGCGCATTTTACTTCTATATACGTTATAAATCCCACGGTTATTATTTTTTCTTTAAACAGCCAATATGTTAAAAAATGTTAAATGCTTTTTTTATTGAAGCACAATTAGCGTACGATAAACTGTGCGTATTTAAGTGTACAATTCAGTGTGTTTTTTTTGTTTGTTTGTTTTTTGAGACAGAGTCTCACTCTCTTGCCTGGGCTAGAGTGCTGTGGCGTCAGCCTAGCTCACAGCAACCTCAAACTCCTGGGCTCAAGCGATCCTCCTGCCTCAGCCTCCAGGGTAGCTGGGACTACACGCACGCGCCACCATGCCCAGCTAATTTTTTCTATTTTTAGTTCTTTGGCCAATTTCTTTCTCTTTTTAGTAGAGACGGGGTCTTGCTCTTGCTCAGGCTGGTCTCGAACTCCTGAGCTCAAGGGATCCTCCCACCTCGGCCTCCCAGAGTGCTAGGATTACAGGCGTGAGCCACCGCGCTCGGCCTTACAATTCAGTTTTGACGTGTGTGCGCCTGTGAGCCATCCTCACGGTAGAGCAGTGAACAACCACTTCTCCTGTCCCTCCTCACCCCTTTGTCCCCAGGCAGCCATCCACCTGCTTTCCCTCGTGAGAGGTTAGTCTGCGTGTGTGGACGTGTGTGAATGGAATCACGTGATACCTACTCTCTGTCTCTGTCCGGTGTCTTTACTCAGCCTGGTTATTTCAAGATTCATCCACGTGTGTGCATTGGTGGTTCTGTTCACATCGGTGGTTCTGTTTACTGCCGTGGGGCGCCCCGTCACACGCTCCACCACAGATTATTCGTACCTGCGGGTGGACAGTTGTGCAGTTTCCGGTTTTGAGCTATTACAAGTAAAGCTGCGATGCATGTTTGTGTATGAGTCACAAATAGGGGTCAGTGATCCTTGTGGATTATTTTGCCCTCTATTAAATTTGCTTTTACTGTCGTACAGCTTCGTTTTCATACCGTGGTCTTTCTCTGCCTTGGGAGGGTGACTTCCTCCTGTAAAAGTCCTCGCAGAGTGAATCCTCGGAAGGTCCCATTCCATGTCTCTTACCGTTCACGTCCATGGGAGCTATTTTAACGTGTTCCATAGATTAACCCCCAGTTACGCTAAAGCGCCACCATGTCCCTTGCAGCTGCTCTGTGGCTGGCGTCCCCTGCGGAGTGCAGAATAGGCCGTGTCCTCGCGCCCACATCGTGGCTGCCATCTGCCAGCACTTTTCAGCCTTTTCCCAGCAGCTGTGTCCCGAACAGCTAAAACTGTGTTTGAAACCGTCCTTGCGACATTCAATGTTGATGAAACTGAATCTTTAGGACAAAAAACCAAAAATAAAGTCACTGAATAAACTAACAGGACAGTGGAGACAAAAGAACAAGGAGCGGGTGCAGGCGCTCACGGGATCCGCCTTCCGGCCTCCCGAGCTGAGCCTCGCACCTCCTTCTGAGGCGGATCCTGGGACCCGGAGGGACCTGCCTGTCTCAGTCTCAGCCGAAGCCCCGCAGGGGCCTCGCAGCAGAGGCCCGGCTGGGGACAAGGGGACTTCCTCACCCCAGCTCCCGAGGTCGTCCCCGTCACCAGTTCTTGCTTTTTCTTCCAGAAATTGTGCAAACACAGGCATGCTCAGCGGATGCCTGTTCAGTGTTTGTACTTGATCAGTGCTCCCCAGATGTTGACTAAGCACCTGTGGGTGCTCCCCGTGCCCGGGTGACTCGGAGACTGGCCTTAGGTCCCGGAGCTTTGTCCCTGTCTGTCCCACAGATATTCCGGGAGTTATTTCCTCGGTCTTCCACTGCCAGACTTCTAAGGTGGCTTCCAGTTTTGTTTTTTACTGTTGAAACCAGTGCTGCCTACGTGGCCTTATCTGCAGAATAAGCTCTAACGAGTGGGTTTCTGGGTTCACGCTGCTCAGACGTCCGGCATTTTAATCTGGGGGCTGCACCGGCTTGCACGCGGAGATCAGCGAAGTGTGGGATTTATTTCTCCAGACTCTTGCCAACGCTGGGTTTCCACAGACCCTTATTTTTGTGTTTGGATTTGCGTTTAATTCTGAGATTAAGTATCGTGTGGATTTTTTTTTTGTTTTTTTGAGACAGAGTCTCACTCTGTTGCCCGGGCTAGAGTGAGTGCCGTGGCGTCAGCCTAGCTCACAGCAACCTCAAACTCCTGGGCTCAAGTGATCCTCCTGCCTCAGCCTCCCGAGTAGCTGGGACTACAGGCACGTGCCACCATGCCCGGCTAATTTTTTCTATATATTTTTAGTTGTCCGATTAATTTCTTTCTATTTTTAGTAGAGAGGGGTCTCGGTCTTGCTCAGGCTGGTCTCGAACTCCTGAGCTCAAACAATCCACCCACCTCGGCCTCCCAGAGAGCTAGGATTACAGGCGTGAGCCACCGCGCCCGGCCAGCATCGTGTGGATTTAGAGTTTAATGCACAAAAGTCCAATTCTTTTTTGTTTAACAATGTTTCTTTTTGTTTTGCTTTAATTATTATTTTTAATTGACACATAACTGTACGTATTTGTGGGGTACGGCGAGGAATTTCCACACGTGTAGTGATCAGGTCAGGGTCATCAGCGTACCCGTCACGCAGACATTTATTATTTCTTTCTGTTGGAAACATTTAAAATCCTCTATTCTGGCTACTTGAAAATACACAATAAATTGTTAATTACAGCCGCCCCTAACACTACAGAGCCCTGGAGCTCCTCCCGCCGCCGAGCCACGCTTCCGTACCTGCTCGCCAGCTTGGCCAGCCCTCCTCCCCAGAAGTCCGCTCCAGGGCTTCGTGCCTCCCTGGGTGGGGAGGGGCCGTCCTCACGCGCCCCTGCTCACCTGCCTGCCTTCTCGTTCCCGCCTCTGCCCAGGACTGAAGAGGGTCACGGGCGGGTTCAACTCCAAGAACAAGTGTGACGCCAGGACGTACTGCTACATGCTGCCCACGTTTGCCTTTGCCCACAAGGACCGGGACGTGCAGGACGAGACCTACCGCCTGAGCCCCGAGACGCTGCAGCAGGTCAACAGGCTCCTGGCCTGCTACAAGGGCACCCACAACTTCCACAACTTCACCTCGCAGAAGGGGCCGCGGGAGCCCAGCGCGCGGCGCTACATCCTGGAGATGCTCTGCGAGGAGCCCTTCGTGCGGGAGGGCCTGGAGTTCGCCGTGATCAAGGTGAAGGGCCAGAGCTTCATGACGCACCAGATCCGGAAGATGGTCGGCCTGGTGGTGGCCATCGTGAAGGGCTACGCGCCCGAGAGCGTGCTGGAGCGCAGCTGGGGCGAGGAGAAGGTGGACGTGCCCAAGGCGCCGGGGCTGGGGCTGGTGCTGGAGAGGGTGCACTTCGAGAAGTACAACCAGCGCTTTGGCAACGACGGGCTGCACGAGCCCCTGGACTGGGCGCAGGAGGAGGGCAAGGTCGCGGCCTTCAAGGAGGAGCACATCTACCCCACCATCGTCAGCACCGAGCGGGACGAGCGCTCCATGGCCCAGTGGCTCAGCACGCTGCCCGTCCACGACTTCAGCGCCACTGCCCTGGCGGCAGCTGGCACAGGTGCCAAGGTAGGGGCTGGGTCATAGCGGTGCTGGGCTGGAGCACGTGCCCTCATGGAGGCCGGGCTGAGTGCTTGTCGTTCCCATTGTATAGAAGAGAGTGCATCACTTCACCCAGAGTCACACAGCATCAGAGGAGCAGGGCCAGGGTGGTGGGCCAGGCTGAGTGCTTGTCGTTCCCATTGTATAGAAGAGCAGGCTGAGGCACAGAGAGGTGCATCACTTCACCCAGAGTCACACAGCATCGGAGGAGAAGGGCCAGGGTGGTGGGCCAGGCGGTCAGCGGCCACGAGATGTGCCTCACTGCCCGCCAGGCCCTCCTGACTCTGAGCGCGTGAGGAGGTTGTTGGCACGATCCATGCAGCAGCAGGCCTTTCCAGGCACGGCTCGCGCGCGCTCGGGCAGGAACGATGCTGCCGACCAGTCCGTGCGCGTCTGTGGGGCTGCGTCTGCTCCTCTCTGCGATGTTCCCGTCCAGGCCCGCGCTGCTCCCTCCCTCTGGGAGCCGCCTGGGTACAGGGCGCAAGCACTTCGTGCTGTGCCCAGGAGTGCCCCTGGCCGCCGCGCACCCCTCTGGGAGGGCCAGCCAGGGTCGGGCTTGCTGCCGTACACCCGCTAGGCACCTGGCAGGAAGTGTGGCTCAGTGGGTAGACAATTGCCAGGTGTAGTTTATGTTTTTAGAGACGGCGTCTTGCAGTGTCGCAATCGTAGTTCACTATAACCTTGAACTTGTGGGTTCAGGCAGTCCTCCACCTCAGCCTCCTGAGAAGCTAGGATTTAGGTGCGCACCACCACGTGTGGTTCATTTTTTAAAAAACTTTATTTTTGGAGACAGGGTCTCACTGCATTGCCCAGGCGAGTCTTGAACTCCTGGGCTCAAGTGATCCTCCTGCCTCAGCTGCTCAAAGTGCTGGGATTACAGGTGTGACCCACCACGCCCGCCACCAAGTATAGTTTAGAACAAACACATATGTGCTCAGGGGTGGAGAGCTGCATGCAGTCTGAAGTTGAAATGCCACCTTTGTTCTCAATTCTTTGCCCTGGAGTGAGAGACGGCCCTAAGACCTGTGTTCTGTCATGGTGGTCCGGTGGGTTTTCAAAGGGTGAGGTTCCCACTTGGAGCTTGGGGAGATGCCGTCCTGTCATCCAGACACCCACGAAAACATCCTTCCTGCACCCCGGTTGTAACCCACGTGCGGGCAGGACCCGGAGGAGGGGGGTGGGGGACGCAGTCGTGCGGTGGCTGGTAAGCGGCTCCCGCACTCTAGACGACGGAGCTGTGGGGGTTTCGGGGGCTGCGGCAGCCAGAGCCTCTCGTCCCACCTGCAGTGTCCTGTTGCAGCTCAGCCACAGCGGTGGTGGCCACGTCGGAAGGGGACATCTGATAGAGCTTAATTTTTTTAAGAGAAACTAAAGTGTTGATGGTTATTAATTTTCTCAAGCCCTGTGCAGGCTAAATAAAGCACAGGTGCCGGTTTGATCGGGGCCAGATGGGACTTCTGGATTCCCGCTAAGGAGGCTTCTGACCAGTTGCCGTCTTTAGATACTGCTCAGGTGTCTGCACTTGTCAAGCTTTGGAACAGCCCAAGTTTATTTCCCCCATGGGGATTTGAAGCAGCCCAAGAAACGCCTCCCTCCTGTCCCTAGCCCCAGGCTTTCCGTGTGTGGTTCTTGAGCCAGGTCAGAGAACAAAGGAGAGAAGCGCTTACCTTTACTCCTGTGCGGGGGTGGGGACGTGGCTGCAGAGCGGGGTGCCGCAGGCTCCTGTGTCCAGCCCGGCGTGGGCCGCTCCGGCGTACAGGAGAGGGGCCTGCCCCGCCAGGCTACAGGCAGGGGAGAAGCAGGTGCCAGGTGGGTGGGGTCCCCTCGTGGGAAGGAAGCGCCCACACACGGGGAGGGGTCGCCTCAGTCGTTCTGTCTGGTCCTCTTCTGCAGGTCTCCAGCCCCCAGGAGGGCAGCGGAGGGGATGGGGACACCGACTGAGGCCGTGGGAGCTGCCCGCCGCAGCGCCTCGCAGCCGGCCAGGACGTGCGCGCAGCAGCTGCCGGGTCACTGCAGCCGAGAGTCTCACTGTGGCCCAGCGCCAGGAGTGCCTGGGCGGGTCAGCCGGGCCTGGCTTCATAACCTCAGGGTCTCGACACCCAGAACCTTCTGAATTTTCATCACAGGAATAACCTGCTTCAAATCTATTTTCAGCTCATGGGTTACATACGTACACCTCAGCATGTAAAGACAGTATTTTTTTAAATAAGTGATTTTCTTATTAAATAAATATAAATTTTGCTTAGTGAATCCTACTTTTGCCTTTTTCTTGTACATTTTTCTTTTGCCAGAGGGATCAGCTCTGCTGTGTTAGGAACAGGCACTGCCAAATGAAACAGACTCGGCCCCGTCCTCCCTGGGGTGAGGGACAGGAGAACGAGTCACCAGGGTGGCCCAGGAGAGTGGTGGGGAAGCTGGAAGTGTCCGGCCGTCCGAAAGCGTCTGGCTGCGAGCGGTGAGCCCGACAGGCACGCAAACGAGAAGAGGATGGCCGGCCGGGCTGGAGCGGTGGTCCCCAGTGGTGTTGGACCTGGCGCCTTCTCTCTTCCCGCCTGGCTCTCTTGAGCATGTGGCCGTCATCCTGGTCGCAGACAGTGGCTCTGCCCCCAGCACCGTCGCGTCCACGTTCCAGGTGGGGGAGAGGGCAGAGGAAGGGCGCGTGGTTGAATATGCCCCTTGGTGTGTGTTTCCAGAAGGCCCGCCAGCAACTTCACCTCAGTGGCCATTTCCAGCTGCAAGGGAGGCTGGGAGGTGCTGCTTTAGAGTGGCACAGAGTGACACAGGGCACAAAGTGCATGTCAGCAAGGACGAGGGGAGTGGGAGGTGGGCGGGCAACTGGCAAGGCTGCCGCAGGAGCCGAGGGAAGGTCGGGGGGGGGGCGGTGTGCACCTGGGCGGGCTGTGGGGGGACGGCCCCTGTGTGGCGAGGACTGGGGTGGGACGAGCCGGTCAGGACACCATTTGGCAGACTGGCGCGAGGGAGGGGGTGTGACAGAAACCTCGAAACAGAAAGCAGCTTACCGGTGCCGGGCGGGGGAGGATGAGGACTCGCTGGGCTTTGGGTTAGAGCAGTGCAGAGCCACGGACTGGAGCATGTGAGGGAAACAGCACCGCGGGTTTTAGGCAAGCCAATTTCACCCGCCATAGGCAGGACTTGTAAACCGCTTCCGTGGCGGAAAGCAGCCCGATTACTGGCATCTTTTGGTTCTCCCGTGAAAGGCTGCGTGGTCTTGGTCTGCAGGTCTATCAAGCCACCCTACGAGACACCCCTGGTGTGACTGCAGGTAATTAATGGGTGACCCATTTCAATCACCTTTGGCGATCCTGGGGTATGCGGCATTTTTCAACAGCGTATGTACCTAGAGAAAAAGCACAAAGCACAAAAAAAGAAAGTTGCCTTCCCTCAATACCAGTATCCCTCTCCAGAGGCCTCTGCTGTAGCCAGTTTCTTGTAGCTTCCAGAGAGTTCTGTGCACACATGGGAATGTCAGAGCCTTTTCTCTGCAGGGTCGGCAGCTCACTCTCACGCCTCTTGCAGCTTGTCGTGTCTGTGATCGTGAGTCTGCCTGTGTCCTTGGTGGGGATGCTCCCGTGCAGGCGTCCACACTCTATTCGGCCTGCTGGTGGCACGTTTCCAGTCTCCGACTTCATGAACAAACAACGACCATCCCTGTATAGCAGACGTCCCTGTTCCCACGCGAGCATTCCAGAAGGAATCGTCGATCCGATGGGTTCCAGTGGCCACCTAATTTGGTAGCTCTTCCTCTCCAGAAAGGTGGTTCAAAATCGGATCCTAGCCGATGACATGGAAGTGCCAGTTCCCCCACCCTCCAGACACGAAGAGCACGCCCGACCTTGCGATGGCCTTTTGTGGGTCCCGTGCTCACTGCCCGAGCGTGGAAGCTACTGCAAGTTGAAGGGATGTCCCCATCGTCCGGCCAGACCCTGGGTGTGGCGCGGGCCCGCCCCTCCTTCCTCGCGTCCAGGAGGACACAGCTCAGCATCCGCCCAGACCATCCATGCCTCCCGAGGACCAAGTGAGCAGCAGACACCCTGGCCACAGGGAGTCGTTCAGCAGGCCCACCGGCACCGAGTAGAGATGGTCCAAGAGACACTGCGCTGGGTGTTTGGTCAGGCGGACGCGTCCACAGGAACCTTGTTGGTTACAAACCATCAGGCGGCTGCTCCGGAATGACACGCACAGCAAAACAGAACTGATCGGCCCAGGCACCTGCTCCTCTGACGCTGCCTCTGGAGCCACCACCTGGGCCCTGCCTGGAGTGGATGGAAGGACCCCACAGCTGAGCGCCTGGCCCCCAGCACTGGGCCTGCCCTCCCTGGCAGGGGGACTCAGTCTCCCCACTCTGTCGCCAGCAGCAGGTGCAGCCAGACCATGGGGACGCTGCCACCCCACTGTCCCCTCCTGCAAACGTATCACGCCTGGAGGATATGTCGTTTTTGACGTCCCAGCTTCACTCGCACGAGGGGAAGGGCCGGTCCACACCAAGGCAGTTCACTGGGGTACCCGTGGAGTGGGGGCGGGGACGGGACTCTTAACACGGTGCTGGGAAAAATGACACATAGGTTTTCAACAAAATTAGAAGCTTCTCATCAAAACAGCCAGTCCCGGGAGTTTACCAAACGCGTCGTTTCGCTGGCAAACACTCGTGTTCTGCGTGGGATCTAGCAGGAACCCAGCCCGAGTCGCAGCGCGTTTGCCGTTGGAACCCCAGGGCAGGGACGCCCACCCGGGCCGGGGCTGTGCCCGAGGGGCAGCCACGCCAATGCCGGCGCCCACGCGCCTGCGCGCGCTGCTTCCGACACAGGGTGTTGCTCCGTCGCCGCCCCACGCGGCCCCCGCCCCACGCGCGACCCCCGACGCGGCCCCGCCCCACGTCACACCATCTCCACGGCCGTATCCTTCCCGCGCCCGATCCCCGCCGCACGGGATCCCCGCCCCGGTACCCCTACGCGCGTTTCCTTTCCCGCGCAACCCACCCGCGCGGCACCCCCGCCCCTCGCCCAGCCGCGGGCTGCGCGTCCAGGTCTCCGCGCGCGGCGTGGCCTCCCCACGGTTCGCGGGCTCCCGCCTCCGCGGTCCTCCGGCGGCCTCGCGCGGCGAGGGGCGGCACGGCAGCTCGGGCAGGCCGGGCGCGAAGGCGCAGCTGCGAAGGGGCGGCGCGCGTCCCCTCCGGCTTGCCGTAGCGCCGCCGCTTCCTCCGCGCGGCCCCGGATGCGCCGAGCGGCTGCGGTGCGGCTGGAACCTCACGCCCTCCCGACGCGGCCGAGCGCGGCCCGAGGCCCAGGGTGAGTGGGGGGCGCCGCGGGCCGGCGGGGCGCGGGGCGGGCGTACCGGGGCCCACAGGCCGTAGCCTGGCCGCCCGCTCGTCGGCCCGGCGCGCCGCGTGGGGACCAGGCCGCGGCCGCTTTGTGCGCGGCCGGGCGGGCGGGCGGGCCGGGGGGCGGCTGCCCAGCGCCCCGCGCTGGGGTCGTTGGCCGGGGCCGGTGGTCGGTGGCCGGGGCCGGTGGTCGGTGGCCGGCGGCGGCGCTCGCCCGCCGTTTTCTTCCGAGCCGCTGCGGCTGGTCGGGCGCCCGGGGGCGGCGAGAGTCGCTTCCGCGGCCGTTGCTGGGCGGGTCCCTCGCGCGCGGGCCGGGGGCGCGCACCCGGGCCTGGGCGCCCCGCGGGCCCGGCGCCTCCGTCGTCCTCCCGGGAGCGGCCCGCGCCGTCGAGCGCCCGGGACTGTTTCCTTCCCGCGCCGGGACCGACTCAGCGGTCCCGGGCGGAGTGGAAGTCACCGCCGCGCGGTCGTCCGCGGGGCAGCTGCGGGCGTGCGGGCCGCTCGGCGGGGACAGACCCGGGCTGCGGCCGCCCGGGAGACTTTCCCTCGGGGGTCCGCGTCCTGAGGGGAAAGTAACGTCGGGACGTTCATAGGGCTTCTCTCTGGCATCGTGGATGAGTTCCATCCTTTTCTATTTGTATTTCCTGGTGTTTTTCCAGAATACGTGCAATAAAAGGGCGTTTGCAATTTTCCTGAGGTATGCACACCCTGGGTTGGAACGGCTGGAGAAAACAAACGTGCGTTCTGAGCAGTCTGAATCGTTCTGTCACCAGTTTCCTCATGGCCCCTTGCTCTGTCCGTGTAATTTCTGAAGAATAATTGGGACCATTTGACGCAATTTTGTGTGCTTTGAAAACATAGCTAGCAAGATCACTTACGTTACAACCTCTCCATTAACACCCTGTTGGCTGCCGCACCTGTGAACATCGGGGTTTAACCTCTTGTGAGATGCTCTGCTGTGGCGTGGTCCTCTTCCGTCTTGCCTCGGTTTATTTTCCCTGCAAAGCGTTCTCATCTACGTGCAAACCTGCCCTTGACCCCATGTACCCT